CGATTCATTTGTTCATCGCATTTGTAAAGACACTGAATACAACCTGAAAAAATACGCCTCTGTTTTTGATGGAAAACTGGGAAAGTTGCCAGGAACTGTGACACTTCATATAAACGACGCTACCGAGCCCGTTGTTTTACCAACGCGGCGGATCCCACTCGCTGTTCGAGATGAATTTTCGCGTGAAGTGAATGATCTTATCGCAAAGGGCGTTCTGGAGAAAGTCGATGAACCAACGGACTGGGTAAGTCAGGTTGTGGTGGTGACGAAAAAGTCTGGGGAGTTGAGAATATGTATCGACCCGAAACCATTAAACAAGGTGTTAAGACGGGAGCACTTTACGCTGCCCATTTTTGACGACATACTACCGGAATTAGCTAATGCAAGATACTTTACGAAGGTGGATTTAGCCTCTGCGTTTTGGCATTTAGAGCTGGACGATATATTGAGCTACTTGACCACTTTTGGCACGCCACTCGGGCGATATCGTTGGAAAAGACTGCCATTCGGTTTGAAAGTGTCAAGTGAAAGTTTTCAGAAACGAATACTCCAAGCGGTAGATGATCTACCCGGTGTATTGTGTGTGGCGGGCGACATTCTAATTTTTGGTAAAAATGTAGATGAACACATTGGACGGTTTGAAGGCTTTTTACAACGTTGTATACGAGACGCGATCAGGCTGAAACAGGAAAAGCTAATCTTTTGTCAATCGGAAGTCAGCTTTCACGGTCACGTACTGACAAGGAGAAGGGATCAAACCCGGACCCGGAAAAGGTAAAAGCGATTGTAGAAATGCTTCCCCCAACTGATGCAAAAGGTGTATCACGATTCAATGGAATGATAAACTATCTCAGTAGATTTCTTCCAGAACTAGCGGAATTGATGCGACCGATTCGACGTTTGACGCATAAAGGAGAACCGTGGCTTTGGAGACTAGAACAACAGGCGGCTTTTGATCGCGTCAAGCAAATTATTGTGAAAGCCCCAGTGCTGGCGTATTTTGATCCCAATGCACCTCTGTGCATACAATGTGATAGCAGTCAATGTGGATTAGCTGCTGTGCTCCTCCAAAATGGGCGCTCATTAGATTATCAGAGTAGGACACTAACGGACTGTGAACAAAGGTACACCCAGATTGAGAAATAAATGCCAGCAATTGTGTATGCGCTGGAGAAGTTCAATGATTACACATTTGGTCGGCTCAGGCATGTATACTCGGATCACAAACCACTGATCATGATTGTGGATAAACCCCTCCATAGAGCACCAAAGAGATTACAATCGATGTTAATACGTCTAAAGAAATACAATTATGAGCTGCATTACGAACAAGATAAACGGATGTTTGTGGCAGACACGTTGTCACGAGCCACATTGCCAGACACAGGACAGGAACAAAAGCTGGAATCCGTGAACGTTGCATTGGCGGTGACGCAGCTCGAGATGTATCACATACGAACTGCAACTATTGACGATCCGAGTATGCAAGAACATAAAGGAGTTATCACACGTGGTTGGCCAGAGGACAAAAAAGCTCTTCCGATGGACGTATTACCCTACTTTAAATTCCGAGATGAATTAACTGTTCACGATGAACTGATTTTTGGTGGTGAAAGGTTGGTCGTACCAAAAGTGATTCAACAAAACGTAATGCGTTTGATACATTGCTCTCACGCCGGTACAAACGGATGCCTCAGTCGCACCAGGGAAACATATTATTGGCCGGGTATGTCGGAACAGATAAAACAAGTGATTGCTAAGTACGAAACTTGCAGGAAGTTTGATCAGAGACAAACGAAGGAACCGATAAATATGTGTGCAATGCCAGAGAGACCATGGCAGATGGTAGCGCTTGATATATTTTATCACGGGAAAGACACCTACTTGATAACTGTTGATTACTACAGTGACTTGTTCCAAGTTGATTTACTGCGATCCAGCACATCGACGGAGATCATTAATAAACTGCGCATTCATTTCGCGGAATATCACTTCAGGTGATCTCCGATGGCGGCCCCCAATTTCGTAGCACCGAATTCCGGAAATTCAGTGGACAATGGCGTTTTGAACACCACTTTACTAGCCCATATCATAGTCAGTCCAATGGCAAAGCAGAAAGCGCAGTG